GACGCCCCGCCGCCGTACCGCCGCTCCGCGGCCGGCGCCGCCGCCACCTATTTAGTTCTCTCCCCGCTCCGGACTCGGGGGGCCGCCTGCGCCGTCCTACTCCGCCCTCGGCTTTTACTCGGCCCGTGGTGTTCATCAAATAGTTCGCTGAATTTTTTCGATACATCAATGGATGCTATTTTCTTAACATTACGGTGCAAGCATGCGACTGTAACACAGAAAACACGGTTTAAACTGTCGTTGGAGATCGCGGCCGCCGCCATGATTCAATGTTGTTGACAGACGACAGGGCAAACGACGCACACGCTCAACGTGAATATCGCGAGAGTTTGCACCGATGTAAAACCTCTACGCAAAAAATGTAGAGGGTTGTTTGAAAAAAATGCCGACCGTAAAGTTTGTTTTCGACGTAGAAATTCTCGGTTGGTCGGGTTACCGGAAACACACTACTTTTTTTTCTCCGCCTTAGCAAAAGCTGTAGAAATGTCACATCGATATTTTACATCGCAAGAGAGCTCTGCAGCTATGAATTCAAGCTGGATGTTGCTTTACGGCAGGCGTGCCCGCACTTTTTCAGTATATGAGGTATAAGTCCAAATGAGCTGCCTTATTTATTTCTTCATCCATTTATTTATTTATGTTTATGTTTTCAAATGTACTTTGAATTCTTCATGGGTATAATAAACATTGCCGTACCTTGCATGAACCATGTTGCGCAATCCAACGAGAGTACAATTTCTGTCCTTACTTTACTCTGATGACTTGCACTGCATGGAATCACCCGGGGTTGGTGTCAGGGCAGGAGCTGCTGATAGCGAGCCATGCGCACAGTCGCACACCTCCCAATGAACATCAGTCATGTTGGAACATTACTTGGACTTTGCGTTTGTATCATTGGCCCCAAAATGCTGCTCCACATTCCTACCTTCAGCCGGCCAGCAAGCGAACTGGGCTGAGCGAGCGGTGTGACTCACCGCTCAGCTGGACATCCCAGTCGCCGCCACCACACCAACCAGCAGCCAAGACGCCATCGGAATGCGTCCCCCCCTTGCACAGGTGTTTCGGTGGACGGGTCTTCCATCCTGTGGGTCATTCTCCAGGGCTGTCTTTGGCTTTTCTATTGTAGATGAACACTTGAATGACTTTTCTCATATTGCCCATATCTGACCGAGTCATTCCCAGTTACCCTTTGTAGGGCATGCCTATAAACCCTAATATACATTACATGTACAGTATGGTATATATTTGCCTACAAATAATAATGGTCACAATATGTATCGTTGAAAGGGTATTATTGAAGTACCCTTGAGCATACTCCCCCAGTGAAAAGCCATCGGACCCCTAAAGATGCGCATTTAGCTCTTTTTTTCTGACAGTGTTGTGCACCAGTCTGTCTTTTGGAAACCTCTGGCCCATTAACTTGAAAGCAATCGTCCTTTTCTTTGTCTTCAAAAACTGCATCAATAAAACAATGCAAAGCAATTTATTGGAGGTTTTATGTTAGCCACTGGACAATGGACCAAAATGTGTTTTTTAATGAGTTAGTGAGTTTCACGAAAATACTGAAGTGTGAATTTTCTGAAAGATATTGCCATTTTGATTTGATTCGTGATTTTTCCCCTTTTTTTTTCTTCAAAGCAAGCTTCAAGACAGTATTCACCATGTACAGTAACATTTACAGATATGGCAGGAAATTACATCTTACTGTAAACATATTGAAAGCTATTACATTAACAATGGAAAGACACAAAAGAGGGAGTGTGTGGGAGGCAGTCTTTTTTCAAGGTTTTTAAATTGGTTCAATAACGCAAGAACTACTGCTAGCCGTCATAAATATCCATATGTCATCGTGGGTAATAATGTATGTAAAAAATATTTTAAATTGTACACTAATTTGCTTCAAATGGAGAGTGAGGGCTGAGCAACATGTCCTAACATTTATATCATGGTATAAATTGGATCCCTTCACAGTAAGACACTTTATGTAGAAAAGTGTCAAGTTATTCAAATGTCAAAAGTGAAATTTTCCCGTTAAAAGAGGCAGAAACAATCAGATTTATTTTTCTCTCTGTGTTTTCATTCAAATTTTACATTTCCGTGTCATCATATGCCTGCTTTTTCTTCTATGTAATGAAATACATTTAACAAATAGATGACATACTTAAAGTCCCTGAGCAAAATTAATTGATTTGAAAAGAAGGACATTTTAATTAATCCCACGGACCCGAAGAAAATGATTTTATTAATCAATTAAAAAATGACAATGACATTTTAATTGTTGATTGCGCTTGTAAAGTGTGTGTGTGTGTGTATATATATATATATATATATATTATATACACATACACACTGTAGAAAGGTTGTCCTGTACCTTTGAAAATTTAAATGTAATTAAAAACATGTTTTCTCTTTTATTTGCCCAGGTAAGCCCAAACACCCAATGTGTACTTTCCATATTGTACACCAGAAAAATGATCTCCAAGGAAAACTCAAACATGCAAGCGCCCAACTGCGTCTGCACATTATCCACCGCCACCGTAATTTAATGATAATTGACCAAATGCCAAATGTATTGTTAAGGTCATACTGTACATTCAAAAATTAAAATAATGTAATAAATCAGGCATTTTCTTGCGTTTAATCAATCCATCAGGCTCTCTGAGCCCAGTTGGTAACTTGCCATAAGGCAAAATGGTTTGATGGTTTAAAAAGTCAAGGTTTCAATAACCGCTGAAACATTCCGTCACTGTCAATGAGCTTTTTAAATTTTTTTTTTTTTTTTTTGAGGGGACTTACCAGCAGGGCTTAATATGATGGTCGCTTACAGATTGCGCTAAATCTGAAGCTAATGACATGAAGCTTGCGTCTTTTTTTCCCTTCTGCTCAGTTGAGTAGAGAGGGGAGGGGTGAGCAGTTACACACAGGAGGGTGGGAGGAGAGGAGCATAATTTTATGTTGACTTTTTGCTGTGTTCATTCATGGGCATTGTCCTCAAAAAAAAAATCATGGTGCCAGAAGATGCTCCTGAGCCCCAAGGACAACATGAGGACCCTATGTGGTCTGTTCGAAAAAAAAATTACATTAATGACCCGTGAGCGGACATTGTGATTTCAGAATTAAAACAAATTTAGGATAAATGTTTTGTTTTTTGTTCGATTATATTTTTATATATGCATTTTTGTATTGGACAATTTTGACTGCAACCACTCATATCCAAAATAATATAATTTTGTCTTTTGTTGGTAGGTGACGTGTTTGAAGGAACAGGTACTTACACACACACACACACACACACACAGACACACACACACACACACACACACACAAACACACACACACAGACAGAAGCGCGTCTGGACACAGCGAAGCTTTGTCAATCCATTTTTGAGTCAGTCCCGCCGTCACGGTGGTCACGCCACACGCATCACCGTAGGCGTCACGTGACCCTCGCGGCACGCCAGCCTGACGCCACCCCTGTCCTGTCCAGACGGTCCGGATGAGGTCACCATCACGGCGTCCGACCCGTCCGCGTTCGTGCGGGCCGGCTCCGACTTCAACCTGACGTGCGCCACGCGCTCTAGCCCGCCCGCCGCCGTCACCTGGTATCAGAACCAGACTCTGATGGACGCCACCGGGTCGGTGCTGCCGCTGCGGGCCGTGCAGCAGCGCCCCCTGTGGCAGCAGATGAGTCAGTACACGTGCAGAGCCGCCAACTCCAAGACCCAGCGGGTGGTGGCCTCGCGCGCCGTCTCCTTTGCCGTCATGGGTGAGTCGACCGGCCTCACACGACACGCCGCTACGGAACACGCGTGCACGCGTCCAAACAGGCGGCTACAAAATAGGAAACCTTTGACCTTTCACCCCCGCGCCGCGATATTAATGGGCAGACGCGGGTTCTCGGTCCAACTGTTAAATGGATGCCAGAGAGCTGCGGACACGCCCCCGGAGTTTTTTTTTTTCTGGCCACGGCGGAAGAAGGTCCGACGTGCGCCAGACGGTTCCCGAAGATGAAGTACACCGTGGCCGGCCCACGTGACCCTACGACAGAGTGCGCGTGAGATAGAAGGAAGCGTCGACGATACTGCACACAAAGCACACAAACACTAAATAAACACACGCGAGGCGGCTCGCAGGCAGCCACTTGCTGCGGCCCCTCCCTCCTCGTAAACTTCTTGACTGCTTCTGGAAACCTGCTCAACCGGTGTTGCTGTTCCCGTGTGGGGTGGGGG